TTTTTTTTTTTTTTTTTCCAGACAGAGTCTCACTCTGTCACTGAGGCTGGAGTGCAATGGCACAATCTCAGCTCACTGCAATCTCCACCTCCCGGGTTCAAGTGATTCTCATGTCTCAGCCTGCTGAGTAGCTGGGACTACTACAGGTGCACACCACCACACCCAGCTTATTTTTGTATTTTTAGTAGAGATTGGGTTTCACCATGTTGGCCAGGTTGGTCTCGAACTCCTGACCTCAAGTGATTCACCTACCTCAGCCTCCCAAAGTGCTGGGATTATGGGCGTGAGCCACCGCGCCTGGCCTGAACTTGTCTTAAAGCTACTCTCTTACTGGAAAAGCTTAAGGTACTGGGGCAACTCCTTGCGGGATAGTTGTTCCCCTGAAGCAGCAGTCCAGTAGAACACATCTGAAACATGTATGAATAAGCAACTATTGTGACAGTCACTTTTAGAACATTTTCATCAGCCCAGAAAGAAAATCTGTACTCTTAGTAATTGCTCCCCATTTTCTCCCAAGCAGCAGCAGCAGCTGCACCACCCCCACCCCCATCTCACCCTCCAGTCCTAAATAGCCAATATGTAGTCTCTTGTGACTGGCCTCTTTCACTAAGCATATTTTCAAGGTTCATCATGTTACAGCATGTATCACTTTATCATCTTTTTTTTTTTTGAGATGGAGTCTCGCTCTGTCGCCCAGGCTAGAGTGCAGTGGTGCAACCTCGGCTCACTGCAAACCTCCGCCTCTCGGGTTCAAGCGATTCTCCTGCCTCAGCCTCCCTAGTGGCTGGGACTACAGGCACGCACCACCACACCCAGCTAATTTTTATATTTTTAGTAGAGATGGGGTTTCACTATGTTGGCCAGACTGGTCTGGAACTCCTGACCTCAGGTGATCCACCTTCCTCAGCCTCCCAAAGTGCTGGGATTACAGGCTTGAGCCACCATGCCCAGCCAGGATAGCATGTATCACTTTTGATAAATTCTTGAAGGTGCTCTTTATTCAGCATCTTTTAAAAACACCTTTCCAGTAGTAGGTACTTCTGTGTAGTTCTTGCTTTATAATCTAGTGAGTTGCCCTGCCAGTGATATCAGCACTTCAGTTTCTAACTTTTGGATATGGGGATTTGTTGCTGTATGAGTAGATTAACAATAGAATCTATACCATTTCTTTTTTTTTTTTGAGACAGAGTCTCACTTTGTCCCCCAGGCTGGAGGGCAGTGGCGTGATCTCAGCCCACTGCAACCTCTGCCTCCCGGGCTCAAGTGATTATTGTGCCTCAGCCTCCTGAGTAGCTGG